GATGCTGAAGACCTATTCTACCCGGATCTTCACGGGTGAGGAGATTCAAGAAACTTCTCAAGTTCAAACACCATTTTGCTGGTTTCACAATTACCTTGTTGCAAAATTGCAAAAATAATAATTGCCGTGACAAAAGGTTTAAGAGTCCCCTTTGAACCAGCAAGATAGAGCACAGACATGTCTAAAATATTCAATAACATATTGAGCAAACAATGAGCAAGCTACAATGAATGACAATACAGATTTCTAGTACAATGCAATTGAGTCACAAATCTAAAATATTGGGTCACAAATATAAAATATTAACTCTTGACATTTACAGTGAGAGCAGATATACTGATTGAAGGTTGTTTATAATGACAGCAGTTAAATAGACAAGCACGTTGAACAACTTGATGATGACAGACAGATGTGTATAAATCCAGTCATGTGAAAAGACCCATCGCACAACGCAACAACCAGCCTTTATACAGCTCTTACTCAGTTCTCGAGCATTCTAGCAAAGCTAGGCTCCATCATTATTCTCTCAGAACGTTCAAGAAAGCCATCGTAAACGAAAGACCCGGAAGTCACAACAAAATAAAGCCAGCCAAGGGAGGCAACTCTGAAGCGCTATCAAAAAGGCGTGCCGCTACAAATACTATTGCCATTGAATATATATGATGCAAGCCAAAACCGATACTCAAAACTTTAGATCGGACGACGTTCCCTCAGACCAGAAGTCCACATCCTGCTTCTGATGATACTGATGAAGAGTCGGACTCCCGCTTACTGAAGACCAACTCTAACCTGGATGCTAATGGGTTCCCAAGACTTGGGGTCTAACGAGTGTAAATAATGCGTATTTAATTTTACTGTCAGACGAAACAGTTGTACTTGCATGTGCAGCGATTTTCAGAGGCAGCAAATGAACGACCTGTTAAAATACGAAGTGATGTCGTGATTTGGCAACTACATCGGTTTTGTGCAATAACTACACCTATCTATCCCTGTATTTACAGTACCGCCTCCGTGGTGTAGTGGTTAGAGCGTCCGACCGGAGAGCGGAAGGTCGCGGGTTCGATCCCCGATTGCGTCATACCAAAAGACGTTAAAATATGGTACTTGTTGGTCCCTGCCTGGCGCTCGGCATTAATGGGTAAAATAAGGACTGGTCGGCTAGGAGTCAGTATAATGTGTCTGAGTGGGATATTCATGCTTCACTGCGGCATGGTATCTCAGTGGGCTAGCACTATAAAACCAGCTTCAGTCTGGGCAAGTACAAGCAGCCGCACATACACATACACATACATGCACGTCGTCATATGAGCGAAATATTCTCATTTCACCTCACCTCACCTTGTATTTACGTCTTGATTCCCAAGTTGAAATTAGAGTTAACAGGGAATAAGTCCGTAAAAGAAACGTTGAAACCAGCAAACAACAAAGCAATGTGATTTAATGAACATATGGTATTATAGTGAGTGAGTAAGTGAGTATAGTTTTACGCCACTTTTAGCAATATTCCAGTAATATCACGGCTGGGGACACCCAGTCTAAGTAAACTTAGACTCAGTATTATTCGTTACACTGCTATACTGAGTCTAACAAAACCTTGAGGAAGGTCGCGTCAGGTAACCTTTGAGCAACCTATGACCGTCCAATCAAAGGCGAGAGGGCCGAACGGATTTAACCAATCAGACAACGGCTACTATTTAGGGTTCGGCGGGACTTATAAAATGGATTTTCTCGTCCCCGGTCGCCAACACTGATCTCCCAACAAACGAAAATCCGCATAAAACACCTGCAGTATATACGCTTTGGGGTTTCTGTTGACATGGTTATCATTAGCTAAGTTGACATGCTTGAATACGGACAAACGAATTTTCAGCGAATATTTACTCACTGTTGTGGCGTGCATCACAAGGAACCGATCGTACGGAAAATAGCATTCGGAATCGTTCGGGTACAAACTTTTTCGAGGTAAAAGTTCAAAAGGTATGTGCAAATGTCCACTTTCGCGATTTGGTAAGCTGTGTTCTGATTGGTTAATTGGAAAGGTTACCTGACGCGACCTTCTACTAGGTTTTGTCAGACTCAGTATAACAGTGTAACGAATAATACTGAGTCTAAGTTTACTTAGACCTGGGGACACCAGAAATGGGCTTCACACATTGTGCCCATGAGGGGAATCGAACCCGAGTCTTCAGCTTGACGCGGGAACGCCTTAACCACTAGGCTACCCCACCTCGCCGTGATAAGTTTACAAATGAATACAACTCCCTGCACACGTAAAAACATATCAGTAGAAACTAGAGTGACAGTACCAATTCAACAGCAGTATAAGTATACAAGAGTGATGCAGTGATTATAGCAATAAAGCAGTGAGGGTAATGCTCGAATCTGAGCAACAGCAATCCAACTTGTATCTTGGCAGGGTATGATCATCACAGTCTATGTTGGTCTTCTGACGACTTGTGATGACAGCAATAGCCAGCTCGTCTTCCATAAACAAGAAATGCTAGAAAGATCTTTCTCTAGTATCATGTAGGTCAGAACACCATTGAACCTCTAGAACTCTGTCTAAATATTGCTTTAGTGATTGGTGACTATTGATGCAGGCGATGAGTGAGATGAAGATGGAGGTGAAACGGCTCCAGACGGAGCAGAGCGAGCAGCAGGAGCAGGAGCTAGAGGCAGCCCAGAAGAGGCAGAGGGCCATCATAAAGCACATCTACTTACTGATCATCACACACAATACTGGGCTTTTTGTAATTTGGGATGTAATGTGAGATCAGAGGCAAGACTTATCTGCCCTTATACACCTAACCAAAATATGCTAGAAAATCCTCCAAATCCTTCGTCCAGAATAGCCCATAATTCTGGAGTAGTATTCTGTAGTACCTTCCAAAAGTTGTCTTAATATAGCACAAGTCTAAATAGCAATCACATGTACAATGTATTACACTCTGAACATCGCTACACAATGAACACCGCTGTCACCTAACAGTGTGTGTATGAACATGTCATGTCTGATCCTTTCATACGTTTCTGCAAACAATTGCTGGCCGTTACTATTTGCCATCCTCGATACTATGAATGTATAATCTTTCCCAGATGTCGTGGGAAATTCTTCAGAGTTCCTGACACTATCACAGATGAACAGTGGGTAACACTTTGTTAATGGTCTCTGCTCAGATAGTCCCTCAGACTACTACAGTAATAGTTGAGACCGCCTCCGTGGTGTTGTGGTTAGAGCGTCCGCCCGGAGAGCGGAAGGTCGCGGGTTCGATCCCCGACCACGTCATACCAAAAGACGTTAAAATATGGTACCTGTTGGTCCCTGCCTGGCGCTCGGCATTAATGGGTACAAGGACTGGTCGGCTCGGAGTCAGTATACTGTGTCTGAGTGGGGTATTCATGCTTAACTGCGGCATGGTACCTCAGTGAGCTAGCACTATAAAACCAGCTTAAGTCTAGGGCTAGTACAAGCAGCCGCACATACACATACACACGCATGCACGTCGTCATATGAGCGAAATATTCTCAAGCACGACGTTAAACCCAATTGCACCTCACCCCACCTCATTAATAGTTGAAACAGAATACTCAAATGATTACTTAGATGACACAGATGATTTCTTAGATGACACAGATAGTTATTGACAAATTAGAGAATAAGAACTAGCATCCCAAACCATTAAACTTCAGGACTAAAAGCAGATTTTTTTAAAACTGCACAGCTTACAATTCTCCAACCGTTTACACTTCCGTTTAATAACACTCTTAACACTGGACAGCTGGGTCCACCGTATCATACGCTCCTATTTAAATCTGACAGCAAATATGATAGAAACAATTACAGGGTTGTATCACTGACTGACACTCTGCAAAATATTTACATCCATTTTCAATAACAGGCTTTAAGCTCTGTGTGCAAGCAATACTATTAGAGGGCTCGGTCTGAGTTAAGAGCAAATAAATCAACTGTTGACTACACGTTTACTCTACAGGTTATCATCTAGGAGAGTTTACTGCCTCTTTATAGATATTTCGAAGGCATTGACACAGACATGATGTTCGCCACCAGGCATTACATAAAGCTGGGATCTCTGGCAAGTTTTATAATACTGTCGCAATGTATTCTCGTTTAACAGCCTCTGTTAGAACCAAATGTGGACTTTCTTTTTCTGTTGGAAGCCGCCAAGGCTCAATTTTTCCCGTCTGTTGTTTCCGACTCTTGTAAATTATTCCAAAAGAGGCATATGTTCTGGAAACCTCTTGTAATGATACAGGAATGAGAGTAAATTTCAATTTGAATGTCTTAAGAAAGGGTCTTTGAACTTGTCTTTGCAAATTGATAGAGGTCACACAACATAAATGTTGTACACAATATTTTGAAGGAGGCAGAATATGTAATGGTGTGGTTCTTGGTGTGTGTGGCAGACAATACGTCTATATGCCACCGGTAGTTAAATACTGGTGTAGACTTATACACTTGCTCCAAAACAGACTTCCACATCAGTGTTACCTAATGTCAAGATCTTTGGTTGATGTAGGACATATATGACTTAGGTATCAAAAGTGAGGCAAATCCTGTTTCAGTATCATTTGGGATGTGTTTGGATAATCAAGATATTGGGAAAAATAACGTATGTTTTCTCTATTTTGCAGAAATTAGATGATAATTTATAAAGTCATGGCATGGAGTTTATGTGTTTATTACTTCATTAAAATAGGTAGTTTTAACACATATTAAAATAACTATGTTTTTCCCAACTAGGCCTATATATTTGGTCCACAAATCATCATCCATAATACCATTTTACCCGCAACACTGTTTAGATGGGAAGATGTATTTGCACGTGCGTTGCCATAGCGATTGTGCAACTGACAATCAAAGCTATGAATGAACTCGTACAAATAGTAACCTTTCAACAAGAGTACAGGCATGAAAAATGTACTGAGAAAATCCATACATACTATAGTTAGTCTTTTTCAAAATGAAAATCACGAAGCCCTCCAGAACAGTGGTTTATGTATGTATAATGTTTATAAAATGAGAAAATAACCTGAAAATGTTTGTGAACGCGTACTCATAAACATGTCTGTATATCGAGCCCAAGGCCTCATACCTCGGTAACCGTTCAACTCACTCAGTCTCTGAACATATTTCATACGTGGCAAATCATTCGTAACTACTCGTGTCATTCTGGCAAGCCGGATAGCGACTCATACCCCTTTCGTGGCCATGTTCACGACTGGGCCTTGTCTAAGCCCAAACGGGTACGGAGATAAAAAAGGACTAGGACTATTTCCAAGGAAAGATAACTCTGAATTTCCAAACATGGCTACTCTTAGCAAACGCCAATTCATTTATAATACAACACGAAAGGCATTTTAAGTAACTTTCTTATGTCGGTAACAAATACCAGTAGCAAGATGATTTTATAATAATGAAAATCGATAATCGCAAAGAAACCATTTGACTCATTTCACATTTGACTAAGCGCGATTTGATTGGTTTGCCACGATTCTTGACAATAATGGCGTACTATACAGTTCACGGAAAGAGGCGAGTAGTTACGAATGGTGGTAAATGTGCTTGTGCTCATTCGGATGTGTCCAGCGAATAACGGAAGTGCAGCTTGCAGTCGACCATCTTCTCCTGGTACAGCTGATCAAACCACTCGTTCTGTGCCACAGTGAACCAGTTCTTCCAGTCGCCAACTTCACCTTCAATGTGCAACACAAGTGCAAGAAGTGAGACTTTCTGTGAAAGAAGGTGCTGGGCAATGCTTTTAAATTTCACGAAACACGTTAAGGGATTATTATTATTATTATTATTATTATTATTATAGCCTCAAGCTTTTTCTGGAACCAATTAGTTTGTCAAAGCATATAATGTGCTTTCACGAAAATCAGAAAATCCTAAGCCAGATCTACACCTATCGTAAAGGGGGCGGTGGGGTAGCCTAGTGGTTAAAGCGTTGGCTCGTCACGCCGAAGGCCCGGGTTCGATTCCCAACATGGGTACAATGTGTGAAGCCCATTTCTGGTGTCTCCCGCCGTGATAATGCTGGAATATTGCTAAAAGCGGCGTAAAACTCACTCACTCACTCACCTATCGTAAATTGAGTACGTGAGTTAAAGTGTTTTGTCCTCAAAGTGATCTGATTTTGTTTGTTTGTTACTTGTTTAACGCTGCACTAGCAATATTCAAGATATATGACGGCGGGCTGTAAATAATCGAGGCTGGACCAGACAATCCAGTGATTGACATCATGAGTATCGATGACAATGCATCACAAAACAGCCTAACCAGTGACCACCGACCCCGTTAGTTACTTCTTATGGCAAGCATTGGTTGCTGAAGACCAGTACATTTCGATGGCCAACAGGGGCGGTGGGGTAGCCTAGTGGTTAAAGCGTTCGCTAATCACGCAGAAGGCCCGGGTTCGATTCCCCACATGGGTACAATGTGTGAAGCCCATTTCTGGTGTCCCCCGCCGTGATATTGCTGGAATATTGCTAAAAGCGGGTAAAACATAGTCAGTCAGTCGATGACCAACATGTTGTATCAGTTCCATGGAGGGTGTTACGACCACCAGTTACTGTATTCTTGAGTAAAGAGAAAATATACATGTACCTTTCCTGTAGGCTTTGGCAGCACGTTCGGATGCAGCGTTAGCCTTCATGTTGCCAAAGCTGCACGTGCGGCACACCTGTTCCAGGTAGTCCTCGCTCCTCTCCACGTCAAGGAACGCAGCCAGCCTTTTCGCCTCCCGCAGTGGATTCTGGGTAAAATAAAATATTTACACATTTAATCATGTCTCGATCCTGTTTTCTTAGTTCCATCATAGGATGACCTTTTCCTGACATTCATTTTTGTTTCACCGAGTTCATCCATCGTACTGCATATAGTGCAGGGATTTTATAACACTTCAAATAATATTGCCACTATAAATTTTCTAAACGGAATTAATTGACATACATAATTACATATGATGTTTGCTGGTATTAATAGAGGTTGTTATCGAGTCAATGTATGTGTGAGTGAGTCAATATTTGCGTGGGTGGCTCTTAACACAGTTTTCTTGTAACAGACGGGCGGGCATAGACAGGCGTACAGAAGTGTACAAAAAGAAAACCTGATGATTTCCTTCGAATCTATCATAGTGCGAAATCAATGTAATGTAATACTACTGCCTAGTGGTGGTCCGATTAATTGAAATAATCGAAGATTGGTCGTAGTGACTAAACGACCAAGCAATCGATCATTATTTCTCATAATCGAACACAATTCTGGAACACTTGTTTTCATTAACAATATTTTTCACATGGTTGGTTTTGTCTGTTACATTTCGCAAGCACTGCAAGCTCGTTTCAAGTCATGATTGAATTTATCTTAAAGATTCCAAGAAATTTATGTTCCCAACATACTAGTCATCCTTTAAAGATGTGAAATTTTGCCCCCAAAAAACTAAAAGAACTACATGTTTTTTCCTTATTTCTATGTGCATTAACAAACTTCATAAATGACGCTAGCCAATTATTTTCGATGATTGATCGGTAGTAATGAACCAATCATCAATTATGAGATTTGAACCAATTCCCAACACTACTACTGCCATTGCGAAACGTAGCAAAACCTGTTATCTGAAGTATAAGAACTGTCAAAATCGTCGACGACGTAATGGAATGACTGTCCATCATTTTGTGTGCGTGAAGCCCCATTTGGACTCGACCACCAACTCGTCACATCGGTAGTTCTACCATACCTGAATGAAAAAATCCATGACACAACCAACCTGACTACTGTTAAAGATCTAGGCCTACGAAGTGTGCGTTGCTGGAACAGGGTCTGGATTTGTGAATCTGGTTTTGAACATTTTGTTCTGATTGACCAAAGTGCGTCATTAAGTAATAAGAGTGAGTGAGTGAGTTTAATTTTACGCCACACTCAACAATATTCCAGCTATATGGCGGCGGGCTGTAAATAATCGAGTCTGGACCAGACAATCCAGTGATCAACAGCATGAGCATCGATCTGCGCAATTGGGAACCGATGACATGTGTCAACCAAGTCAGCGAGAAGTAATAAGAAAACCTAATGGACGCCATTTATTTCTATAAAACCCTGGGTAAGGGTATGCAGCTGAAAAACAGGACTAAACAACGACACCAGGGCCCTTATTCTCGAAACGTTCGTAGCCCTAAGAATTCTTAACTTTGATCGTAGCCAATGTGCTGAAGAAGTTCGTAGGGCTACGAACGTTTCGAGAATAGCTAGCCAGATCCTGCTACACCTACGGGACACAACTATGATGGTTTTAGGTCAGTAAATGTAAAGGGTGATCACCTTACCTCCTTGACGTCTTCATAGAACAGCGTGTGTATCTGAAGTTCTGGGTGCGTCCTTTTCACCTCCTCCCATTCCCGGACAGAATCGAACCACGACCCGTACTGGACTGAAACGTCCAAGTGAAATATTATGTACACCATGCTAGAGACAATGTAGACGCTGCAGTAACTGTCCGAATGTGTATCTGGAGCTGCTGCAATATTGCTCGACATTAAGAGTGACTTAGTTTAGTTTTACGCTGCTTTTAGCAATATTCCAGCAATATCACGGCGGGGAGACACCAAAAATGGTCTTTGAACACACATTGTACCCATGTGGGTAATCGAACCAGGGTCTTCGGCGTGACGAGCGAACGCTTTAACCACTAGGCTACCCTACTGCCCCGCTCGACATTAAGAGNTTTACGTCACAACGGTTGACGATTGGAAAGTCGAAGTAAACATCCCACAAAAAGCAGTCTTATTATGTTTCAAATTCGAGTAGGTCAAATTTAAAGTAGCAGGCGGGAAATGGGTTATTTTTTCTATGTTTATTAATAGCCAGGAAATGGGCTTAAGTTAGCCTAAAGTTCTTGGTCAAATAACTATATTTTGATTAGCCAACCTGGCAGATATTCCAACTCACATGCATAAAGAAACAGATCCCCAAGGAAGGGAGCACAATCGGTGTCCATGGGGTAGCCTAGTTCTTGGCTAAGATACACGCACATGCGCCGAATATATAAAAGTGCTCTGTTTACTCTTGTATGCACGTCGTTCGCCATTCTTTCATGACGGTATTTATTCTTAGACAAGCAGTGTGTACTCACATTTGCCCTCAGCAAATGGACGGAGGTAATTCACCCAATCTCCTTTGTAAGGCACTCGCGCTGACTTATTGAAATTATAATACGAAACTGCGGCGTCCTTCGGGTTCCTCAATATATAGACGACCTTGACCTTCTTGTTGAAGAGACCAGGAGGTAAATGTTTGATTCCCACGTGAGTGTTCAGGAGTCGAGGAGATGGGAGGTCGATGTACCCGGACTCCGGCGACCTCTCCAACATTGTGAGCATTTTGTCTCTGTCCTCAGCGTCCAGTCTACCGGCCAGTACAAGTCGAGTGACCTCCCACATCCAGTGGCTACCTGTAGGAACAGGAAAACCATGTACAATGACATCAAGTTAATCCAGAACCGCATTTGAAGATACATTGGTCACGTTGACATATATGCAAAGGGAGATAACTCCGTGTTCAAAATACTTCTTGTAACGAACTTGTTTTACCTCTGAAGGTACCGTCCAGATAACCATCGATTCATGGTTTTGAGACTTTCTTTTTTTTCATACTACACAATTTTATTAAACCTTTCAACGTTACTGGTGTTAAATTGAATTGAAAGGGTAGTTTGAGTACGTTAGGTTAGTCTTGCTCCAATGCTGTACTGAATGATAAGACCATGGATGTGAGGCAATGAGGCAAAACAGGATGGTCTTTCTTGGGACAGCTTGCTCTAATCATATTCATAATGTAGAAATTTCTGTTTTAAACTTTAACTACGAGGGGTGTTCATTCACGATTTCCCCTGACCCACTTGCAGTGGACTTAGTGGAACGAAACTTGGCACAGTTATTAGTCCGTCTCTACATAGCAACCACCAAGAGTTACACACTTCTCCCATCGTTTCATGCAACTATAAAGACCTTGCTTGAAAACGTCAGTAGGTTGCGTATCAAAACCATGACGTGACTTCCGAAATCAGTGTGTCATCATCTGGGAAGCGTGTTCCCTTCAAAAATGACTTCATAGTTGGAAAGAGATGGAAGTCAGATGGTGCAAGGTCAGGAGAGTAAGGAGGATGAGGAAGGATTTCATAGCCACAGGACCGTGCTTCCCTCTGGGTGATGTGAGAGTTGCTTCCCTCTGGGAGATGTGAGAGTTGCTTCCCTCTGGGTGATGTTAGAGTTGCTTCCCTCTGGGAAATGTGAGAGTTGCTTCCCTCTGGGTGATGTGAGAGTTGCTTCCCTCTGGGAAATGTGAGAGTTGCTTCCCTCTGGGTGATGTGAGAGTTGCTTCCCTCTGGGAGATGTGAGAGTTGCTTCCCTCTGGGTGATGTGAGAGTTGCTTCCCTCTGGGTGATGTGAGAGTTGCTTCCCTCTGGGTGATGTGAGAGTTGCTTCCCTCTGGGAAATGTGAGAGAATTGCTTGAAAACGTCAGTAGGTTGCGTATCAAAACCATGACGTGACTTCCGAAATCAGTGTGTCATCATCTGGGAAGCGTGTTCCCTTCAAAAATGACTTCATAGTTGGAAAGACATGGAAGTCAGATGGTGCAAGGTGAGGAGAGCAAGGATGAGGAGGATTTCATAGCCACAGGATGAGAGCTTTCTTGGTGATGAAATTGCCCACTAAGAGTGAAGTTGCTTCCCTGGGTGATGTGAGAGGCTACCCTCTGATGTGAGAAGAGCTTCCCTCTGGGAGATGTGAGAGTTGCTTCCCCTGGGTGATGTGAGAGTTGCTTCCCTCTGGGTGATGTGAGAGTTGCTTCCCTCTGTGAGAGTTGTGAGAGTTGAGAGTTGCCCCTCTGGGTGATGTGAGTTGCTTCCCTCTGGGTGATGTGGAGTTGCTTCCTCTGGGTGATGTGAGAGTTGCTTCCCTCTGGGTGATGTGAGAGTTGCTTCCCTCTGGGTGATGTGAGAGTTGCTTCCCTCTGGGTGATGTGAGAGTTGCTTCCCTCTGGGTGATGTGAGAGTTGCTTCCCTCTGGGAGATGTGAGAGTTGCTTCCCTGGATGTGAGCCTCCCTCTGGCTTCCCTCACGATGTGAGAGTTGCTTCCCTCTGGGAAATGGGGAGTGAGCAGCTTCCCTCTGGGTGATGTGAGAGTTGCTTCCCTCTGGGTGATGTGAGAGTTGCTTCCCTCTGGGTGATGTGAGAGTTGCTTCCCTCTGGGTGATGTGAGAGTTGCTTCCCTCTGGTGATGTGGAGAGTTGCTTCCCTCTGGGAAATGTGAGGGAGTGAGAGCTTCCCTCTGGGTGATGTGAGAGTTGCTTCCCTCTTGCTTCCCCTCTGGGTGATGTGAGTTGCTTCCCTCTGGGTGATGTGAGAGTTGCTTTCCCTCTGGGTGATGTGAGAGTTGCTTCCCTCTGGGTGATGTGAGAGTTGCTTCCCTCTGAGGTGATGTGGAGTTGCTTCCCTCTGGGTGATGTGAGAGTTGCTTCCCTCTGGGTGATGTGAGAGTTGCTTCCCTCTGGGTGATGTGAGAGTTGCTTCCCTCTGGGTGATGTGAGAGTTGCTTCCCTCTGGGAAATGTGAGAGTTGCTTCCCTCTGGGTGATGTGAGAGCTTCCCTCTGCTTCTTCCCTCTGGGTGATGTGAGAGTTGCTTCCCTCTGGGCGATGTGGGAGTTGCTTCCCTCCTGTCAGGAGTTGGCTTCCCTCTGGGTGATGTGGGAAGTTGCTTCCCCTCTGGGGAGATGTGAGAGTTGCTTCCTCTGGGAAATGTGAGGTGCTTTCCCTCTGGGTGATGTGAGAGTTGCTACCCTCTGGGTGATGTGAGGAGTTGCCTCCCTCTGGGTGATGTGAGAGTTGCTTCCCTCTGGGAGATGTGAGAGTTGCTTCCCCTCTAGGGTGATGTGTGAGAGTTGCTTCCCTCTGGGTGATGTGAGAGTTGCTTCCCTCTGGGAAATGTGAGAGTTGCTTCCCTCTGGGTGATGTGAAGTTGCTTCCCTCTGGGTGATGTGAGAGTTGCTTCCCTCTGGGTGATGTGAGAGTTGCTTCCCTCTGGGTGATGGAGAGTTGCTTCCCTCTGGGAGATGTAGAGAGCTCCCTCTGGGGATGTGAGAGTTGCTTCCCTCTGGGTGATGTGAGGATTGCTTCCCCCTGGCCGATGTGAGATTGCTTCCCCGGGAAATGTGGGAGTTGCTTCCCTCTGGGAAATGTGAGCTGCTCCCTCTGTGAGCTGCTCCCTCTGGGTGATGTGAGAGTAGCTTACCCTCTGGGTGATGTGAGAGTTGCTTCCCTCTCTGAAGATGTGAGAGTATGCTCTCTGGGGAAATGTTGAGGGAGCTCCCCTGATGGTGATGTTAGAGTTGCTTCCCTCTGGAGGGAAATGTGAGGAGCTTCCTCCTCTGGGATATGTGAGAGTTGCTTCTCTGGGTGATGTGAGAGCGTGCTTCCCTCTGGGTGATGTGAGTGTTGCTTCCCTCTGGGAGGATGTGAGAGTTACTTCCCTCTGGGAAATGTGGAGAGTTGCTTCCCTCTGGGTGATGTGAGAGTTGCTTCCCTCTGGGTGATGTGAGAGTTGCTTCCCTCTGGGAAATGTGGGAGTTGCTTCCCTCTGGGAAATGTGGGAGTTGCTTCCCTCTGGGTGATGTGAGAGTTGCTTCCCTCTGGGTGATGTGAGAGTTGCTTCCCTCTGGGTGATGTGAGAGTTGCTTCCCTCTGGGAAATGTGAGAGTTGCTTCCCTCTGGGAATGTGAGAGAGTTGCTTCCCCTCTGGGTGATGTGAGAGTTGTTGAAAGCCTCTGGGTGATGTGAGAGTTGCTTCCTCTGGGTGATGTGAGAGTTGCTTCCCTCTGGTGTGATGTGAGTTGCTTCCCTCTGGGTGAGAGTTGCTTCCCTCTGGGAAATGTGGAGAGTTGCTTCCCTCTGGGTGATGTGAGAGTTTTTGGGAAAGGACCGTGCTTCCCTCTGGGTGATGAGAGTTGCTTCCTCTGGGTGATGTGAGAGCTGCTTCCTCTGGGTGATGTGAGAGTTGCTTCCCTCTGGGTGATGTGAGAGTTGCTTCCCTCTGGGTGATGTGAGAGTTGCTTCCTCTGGGTGATGTGAGAGTTGCTTCCCTCTGGGTGATGTGAGAGTTGCTTCCCTCTGCGATGTGAGAGTTGCTTCCTCTGGGAAATGTGAGAGCTGCTTTCCTCTGGGAAATGTGAGAGTTGCTTCCCTCTGGGTGATGTGAGAGTTGCTTCCCTCTGGGAAATGTGAGAGTTGCTTCCCTCTGGGTGATGTGAGAGTTGCTTCCCTCTGGGTGATGTGAGAGTTGCTTCCCTCTGGGAAATGTGGGAGTTGCTTCCCTCTGGGAAATGTGGGAGTTGCTTCCCTCTGGGTGATGTGAGAGTTGCTTCCCTCTGGGAAATGTGAGAGTTGCTTCCCTCTGGGAGATGTGAGAGTTGCTTCCCTCTGGGAGAAATGTGAGGAGAGTTGCTTCCCTCTGGGTGATGTGAGAGTTGCTTCCCTCTGGGAAATGTGAGAGTTGCTTCCCTCTGGGAGATGTGGGAGTTGCTTCCCTCTGGGTGATGTGGAGTTGCTTCCCTCTGGGTGATGTGAGAGTTGCTTCCCTTGTGGGTGATGTGAGAGTTGCTTCCCTCTGGGAGATGTGAGAGTTGCTTCCCTCTGGGTGATGTGAGAGTTGCTTCCCTCTGGGTTATGTGAGAGTTGCTTCCCTCTGGGTGATGTGAGAGTTGCTTCCCTCTGGGTGATGTGAGAGTTGCTTCCCTCTGGGTGATGTGAGAGTTGCTTCCCTCTGGGTGATGTGAGAGTTGCTTCCCTCAGGGTGATGTGAGAGTTGTATACGGGAGCGTTGTTTGGCAAGAGACGGACACCTTTGGTCAGCATAGCCACAGGACCGTGCTTCCCCTTCTGGGCAATGTAAGAGTTGTGTACGGGAGCGTTGTCTTGCAAGAGACGGACACCTTTGGTCAGCATAGCCACAGGACCGTGCTTCCCTCTGGGCAACGTGAGAGTTGTGTACGGGACCGTTTTCTTGCAAGAGACGGACACCTTTGGTCAGCATGCCACGTCTCTTAAGCTTGATAGCTTCTCGCAGTTTCCGCAGCAGTGAAGCATAGTAAGTCCGTGTAATTGTGGTACCCTTTGCCAGGACGTCCGTCATCACAACTCCGTGGACGTCCCAAAAGACCGTGAGCATGACCTTGCTTGCAGATGGCTGAACTCGTGCCTTCTTTGGTCGTGCTTCCATTGCATCGACTGAACTATAGTCTCAGGATCATGGATCCATGTTTCATCCTGTGTGATAGGTCTGTCGAAAGGTTTGCCTGGTTGTCTTGGCACATGTCCAAAAGAGCCTTTGAGCAACTGGCTCGTTCCTGCTTCTGAAAAGGTGTGAGAGGCTGGGAATCCATCGTGCAGACACCGTATGCATGTGCAAATTGTCATGAATGATTTTTTCCACAGACCCTACACTGATCTTGACATCATGGGCTAACTGGCGATCTTCCAAAATGGCAGTCTCCACTTGACGGACAGTGTCTTCATCAATGGCTGAATGAGGTCGACCAGGAATGGGAGCAGTTTCCACAGATTTCCGACCACATTTAAACTGGCGGTGCCAGTGTTTAACTACGTCATACGATGGGGCATCCTCCCCATAAGTTGCTTTCATCAAAGGTCTCTTTTGGTGTGCCACCTTTCAAGTACAAAAAACTTGATCACTGCTCGGTACTCAACTGGCTCCATTGACACACCATACTTCAATATATGAATAGCTTTAATAGTTCAATGCTGAAAATTTTCACATGACCCATACATATATGTGTCATTACATGACGTTTCAGCCACATGTGAAAACCAGAGGTGGGTCAGGGGAAATCTTTAATGAACGCCTCTCGTATTGGGGTACAGCATGTGCACAACACAACACAGGACTATATTCCAGCTATATGGCGGCGATTTGTAAACAATCGAGTCTTGACCAGACAATCCAGTGATCAACAGCATGAGTATCGATCTATGCAATTGGGATACGATGACATGAGTCAATCAAGTCAGCGAGCCCGTTAGTCGCCTCTTACCTGAGAGAGTGAGTGAGTGAGTTTGGTTGTACGCCGCTTTAAGCAATATTCCAGCAATATCACGGCGGGGAACACGGGGCTTCACATATTGTACCCATGTGGAGACTCAAAAATCCGAGTTTTCGGCGTGACGAGCGAACGCTTTAAAATAACACTAGGCTCCCAAACCGCCCCTCTTACGACAAGCGTGGTTTGCTGAAGACCTATTCTTACGCGGATCTTCACTGAGGCTGCTTCGCTATAGACAACCGACCCCGCGTTATAACGGGAGAACAAACGCCACCGTAATGTTCATCACACACTTAAAGGTACCTGACTTTGGGTAGGCACAGAGGATGATGTCGCCATCACGGATGTCTATGGAACTGATGTTGCGGATGACGTCGGGGTCGAAGTTGGGAAAGATGACGCCGTTGTAGTCAACAGCAGTAACAACATCTCCTCCTTCGTCGGGGATTTCAACAACGGACATCTGTGGAACCAACTGGACACAGTGAATTACGGCTAAATAATCTGCATTTCATGTTCAGGTGTGTATTCTTGATATGGACAAAGGCAGATGATCGCATGCTAGTTTGTTGTTTAACAATATTTCACCCATCTGACGTCGGTCTGAACCCATCTGACGTCGGTCTGAACCCATCTGGAAAGATTTTGTTTGTTTGTTAGTTTAATGCCGCACTCAGCAAGCAATATTCCAGAAATATGGCGGCGCTCTGTTAATAATAGAGGCGATGAGCATCGATCTCCTTTGAAAGTGGTAAAATGACTGGCAATCAACAGGGTCATTGACCCTGACCATCCGATCCACATGGTCACCCCCGACGACAAGTATAAAGGTATGTTGCTAGGCCGCAGTGTGCGAAATAACCACTGGCCTGCTAGCCTGTGGCTAGTAAAAATGCAGTCGGGCCAGTAAACCTCCACAGTCACTGGCCCGACTGGCTAGTGAACATGGGGTCATTTTGTAAATATAACACTCCGACTTGTTAGGTTATAATACAATTTCAAAATCATGCAAGGTTTTGGTTTGATAAAAATTTACATCATATTAGCAGCTTAATGATGAAACCCGTGTCTACATTCAAATTTCGAAGTAGTGAATTATTTTGTGGGCTGGTAACTTTCAGGCATAGCTAGCCCGACTCGCTAGCAAAATTCGGAAACGATTTCGCACACTGAGTTTGGGGTCTATTCTACACCCAGAATCCCCTGGGCATGAGGTCTGAAGGAAAGGGGCGCGTACCTCTGTACCTCATTAAAGTCACTGAATGAATCCTGGGTTCGAATCTCGGTTTGCTCCGATTGTTTCTGGTTTGTCAGCACCATTCCCGTGCTGTAGGTTTCGCTAAAGTGTAAACGTCCGAGACCTGGGCCCGTATTCTCCAAAGGATCCAAGTCCTAGGATATCATAACTTTGATCCTAGGGTCTAGGATAGGTGTCCTGCCTTATTCTCGAAAAGTATCCTAGCGCTAGGATATCCTAACTTAGGACGAATACTAGGATAGGTTCTGACTTGTCCTAAGTCTATCAGTGGATATCAACGTGGTGTGGTACTTGTTTGGTCACCAATTTTGACGTTGTCAAACAAAATAACTCGCCTAAATTACACTTGAATTTACAAAGTAGGGGGGACCGGGGTCAATTGTAACACTTAACTTCTTACTTAACTTCTTGTAATTTGATACCAGTCGACCGCTCACAAAGTTAATAGGTACTAACTAGTACATTGGCTTCTTGGTTTTAAACCTCAGTGTCATTTAAAGTTCACTATCATGTCGTTACAAAGTTATTACGTATCAAATGCAATGACTGCAAGTGTTACAATTGACCCCTAGCACGGGGCAATTGTAACAGGTGGATGGGGCAATTGTAACAAAGAAGGATTCAAATGTAACAATCTGCTTATTTTCCAAATAAAATAAAAATAAAATGTGGAAAGATGTTATCTTGATTAATTGAGGTGGAAATGGATTAACATTAAACCTTTGTAACCACCGACATTTTACATGTTTTTGGTTTAAAACACCAAAATCTTTCACCCGAGGGCTGATACTATCAACATAAGACTGAAAATGTTCTACTATGATGAAACTAGTAAAGAACTAACATAAAACCGACAGCATAATTTGCTTCATCATCATAACACAAGGGAAAATTAAATGGGGACAATTGTAACACAGTGTTACAATTGCCCCTGATGGCAGTAGCCATGTTTCATGCCACATCACATGTTAACAACTTAGGGCTTCTCAAATATTTCTACTTCAAAATATGTCGTAATACCTCAATTTTACGTTTGAAAAGTTAATTTCATTCCAAGCAACATTTACTGCATCAAGAATGTTTTATTACGGTTTGTGAAAACTTTACTTTCCTATGTGAAAAACGATTTTTCGTCAACTGTATCTCGCCATGAGCGAGCAGCTGAACAACGCCTGTATGTGTACCGCAGGAAAGCAAAGGGAAATAACTCAACTCGCCTACACTATGCTTGAGCGAAAACTGTAATCGCCCTTGTTACAATTGCCCCGTGTTACAATTGACCCCGTCTCCCCTACACAGTTTTGATGAGTTAAGAAGATTTTTTTAGTTTATATTATCAATTTATCGATAATGAACATGCTTGTTGCAATACACATATTCTTTAGATCTACAAAAGAGATTCGTTCAATTCTTACCTATTCTAGTCCTTTTTATTCACAACATTGATCTTTTCTATCTCCCCTACAGAAGAGCAGGCTATCCCAGCTAGGATCGGCAGCTCAAGTTAGGACAGAGATAGGATCGTTTCGAGAATGAGTCTTATCCTGACGGTAGGATGTCCTAACTCCTGTCTTAATATAACTACATGTAGTTAGGATCTGTCTTAGCTGGGTCACCTTCGACAACGGGGAGAGGGTGGGCGCACACGCAAGCGCGCGCACACCCATCTGAATCCGCCCCTGAAAACGACGCTAAACCAAACTGACTAGAGATGACAGTCGATTCAATGACGAGGGCGAGCTCTTCATCTGACCTTCATTCAAGACTGCCTGTTTAAAGATGGACTGACTGAGTTTGGTTTTACGCCGCTTTTAGCAATATTCCAGCAACATCACGGCGGGGGACACCAGAAATGGGCTTCACACATTGTACCCATGTGGGGATTCGAACCCGGGTCTGCGGCGTGACGAGCCAACGCTTTAACCATTAGGCTACCCCACCGCCCCTTTTAAAGATGGAGGGCTATAGAAACAAACGAAGAAAATGATGGCTCTTTATCTTTATCGGACAACCATTCAAGATTTCTTGTTACAATATGGAAAGCCTAAACAACAGCATGAGAAAATGATCGTGCTAAGCAGCACAAATACACTTGACACAAAAACATCGGACGATTAGGGTGTGACTGTCGAAGGTCAATCGACCAGATTCAGAGCTAAACTGACCTCTTACCTTACGCTTGTGTGTCTGGGTCAGATGTCTTCTGCGCTTGCTGTTATCTTGCGCCCTTTGACCTACCCCAAATCTGATACCTGGTTTGTGCATGTTGTGTATGAATCACGGGATTCACTCCACTCCAACCGCTCCCAATCCAGCCGCTCCCACGCCACGTCGCGCCCTACTCCACGACTAAGCCCCTTTCTTGCATTTACGTGTGATTTTAACGTGTCGGTTTGCCTTTAGATCTTCTTGTGGTATGTCTAACTAGAAAGCTCTATGAACACACCCGCTAGACGCTCGGTTGATCTCATCAGTAAGGAAGTACTGACTGACTGACTGAGTTTAGTTTTACGCCGCTTTTAGCAATATTCCAGCAATATCACGGCGGGGGACACCAGAAATGGGCTTAACACATTGTGCCCATGTGGGGAATCGAACCCGGGTCTTCGGCGTGACGAGCCAACGCTTTAACCACTAGGCTACCCCACCGCCCCAGTACGGAAGTAGTAAAGTGTAATATACGAAGGCAACTCATGCAACGTACAAAACGTATTGTTTCGTCGATGTAAGACAAGTGCGTATACTAAAACAGATAATGTGGTATGGGTGATACACAGTTTCTCATTATTTTGTACAATCTTGTTTAAAATGTTCGTTCGGAATGACAAGTGAATTACTGGCCCCAAAACAACTGCAACAACAATAACATGACTTCGTCATAGTGGTGAAGTATGTTCCTCGCTAGACATATATGTATACTCCCCAAGGAGTTGAGATTGATAATACGGTGTGCCGTTGAGATTGACATCCAATGATCGAGGGAAAACTACCAGCGCCTTGAGCATGCACTAGTTGCCTGGATATGTGCGCTCTATCCTATAATAATAATAACGGTGGTGGTGGTGGAATTGGGTTTAACGTCGTGCTTGAGAATATTTCGCTCATATGACGACGTGCATGCGTGTGTATGTGCATGTGTGGCTGCTTGTACTAGCCCAGACTGAAGCTGGTTTTATAGTGCTAGCCCACTGAGATACCATGCCGCAGTTAAGCATGAATACCCCACTCAGACACATTATACTGACTCCGAGCCGACCAGTCCTTGTTGTACCCATTAATGCCGAGCGCCAGGCAGGGACCAACAAGTACCATGTTTTAACGTCTTTTGGTATGACGCGGTCGGGGATCGAACCCGCGACCTTCCGCACTCCGGGCGGACGCTCTAACCACTACACCACGGAGGCGGTCCAATAATAACGAGATTGCATGATAGAATCTGACTGAATGTTACCATCCCTCAGTGTAAATGAGTGAGTGAGAGTTGGGTTTTACTCCGCTTTTAGCAATATCACGGCGGGGGACACCAGAAATGGGCTTCACACATTGTACCCATGTAGGGAATCGAACCCGGGCCTTCAGCGTGACGAGCGAACGCTTTACCCACCATGCTACCCCAACGCCCCTCTCAGTGCAAATGACTCGAATATATTACGTTCATTGTTCATCGCCAATGTGAGGTAAAAGAGGGTTTTTACCAGCTTATGTCACATGGATATCCCACTTGGACACAACATACTCACCGATCCTTGTATAATTCAACGACCCGCGAAGATCCGGGCTAGAACTAGTGGTGGTCCGATTAATTGAAATAATCGAAGATTGGTCGCAGTGACTAAACGACCAAGCAATCGATCATGTTTTCTCATAATCGAACACAAGCAATTCTGGAACACTTATTGCATTAACAATGTCTTTCACACGGTTGGTTTTGTCTGTTACATTTCATGAGCACTACAAGCTCGTTCCAAGTCATGATTGAATTTATCTTAAAGACCCCCAAGAAATTTATGTTCCTAACATACTATAGTCATCCTTTAAAGATGAGCAATTTGAAAAGAAAAACACCAAAAAAACCAAAGAACTACATGTTTTTTCTTTATGTTTTTGTGCAAACAAACATAACCAGGAAAATCTGATAAATGATGCTAACCAATTATTTTCGATGATTGATCGGTTGTAATGAACCAATCATCAATTAAGAGATTTTAACCAATTCCCAACACTAGTTAGAACTGGTCTTCAGTAACCCATGCTTGTTGTAAGAGGCGACTAACGGGATCGGGTGGTCACTTGGTTGACACGTGTCATCGTATCCCATTTGCGTAGATCGATGCTCATGCTGTTGAACACGTGAGTGAGTGAGTGAGTTTAGTTTTACACCGCACTCACCAATATTCCAACTATATGACAGCGCTCTGTATATAATCGAGTCTGGACTAGACAATCCAGTAATCAACAGCTGGAGCATCGGTCTGTGCAATTGGGAACCGATGACATGTGTCAACCAAGTCAGCGAGCCTGACCACCCGATCCCGTTAGTCGCCTCTTACGACCAGATTGGGTTACTAACGACCAATTCTAAACCGGATCTTCACGGGTCAGGTGAAATAGGAGACTGTGAAAACCATACATAACTCACACCAATGTTATTAACACATTCTGTATACATGAAATCCAGCTACAGCTGTGAATACCTTCATTATGAAGATTATATACAATAGAATAAACGTTTGAAGATAACTTAGATGAATTGTTTGTAAATAATTTAGATCAAAACGTTAACACACGAGTTTTAACATCAGCAGAAAGTGTGACTCTACCTAATTCACCATAAACCATATACAATGTGGTACTTTTCTTTACAGGTAATAATGTTCTCATAAAATATATATGTACATTTTCAATTTGTTTTAAATTAATATATCCCCAAGTTTTACGACAAGATTGGTTTCATCATTGAATCAAAGAGACATAGTTGACATTGAATTGAGATGTTTAACATTCGACTTCTGCGTAAAACAAAATACATGGTGTTAGTAGCTTGTTGACAGAGATTTGATATAGATAATTTGAAAGAACATTTTCTATCAAAAATAACTTCGAGATATGTGGATATGTGGAAACACATGTGGAAACACAACACAGTAACAGTTTTAACTAACTGGTTGAAATATCCAATTTGGGCATTCCCATTTATGTATGGGTGTTGCAAAAATTAATCCCTAGTCCAGTGTCTGACAGTTGGGATGTCTAACTAATGGGAGTAAATCTTGTTATGAATTAAACGACCGAAATATATACCAATTTCTTAATTACCAGCGGTGGTCTGAACCACACGAGCAGATATTGACTTTTTCGTATCGAATGACATGATTGATCATGACGTAAATTATTTCTGATTATATATTTGCATTAAGGCGTGTAATGTTGAATATATTAATATGTACGTCCAAATGGCATCCAACAATCAGTGGGCCTAACCCAAATTCACATTGAAGCAGGGGTGACAGGTGGTAATTAGCACAGAGCGGATCATACAGTGTGGTTACAGAAGCAGTAGTCATATAGGGAGCACTGTTTGTTGTTTAAAGCCACACTCTGCAATATTCTAGAGATATGACTTGCCGCTTGTAAATAATCGAGTCTGGACCTGAAAGTCCAGTGATAGACATTATGAGCACCGATATACAGAATCAGGGTGTGGTAAAATTATACGATAAGAATTGGTTGCTACCGGGCATTGATGCTGGGAAATAGCCGACACAGCAGACACATTACAGTTGGGATTATCTTAGTTCCACCTCGACTGACAGCTGTAGTCTCATTGTTCTGAAGAGGATCGGGGGCGATAACTCAATTGGTGTGAATTTATTTGTATGGTAATAGGCTCAAACGGATTAGGTGTGCATGGAAACACATGATTTTCGTTTGCGGTGTATATATTTCACACAAAAATGTTGATTAAATATAATAACAATTCTGCACTAATCATAGGATCTGACAAATAAAAATATCTTATTTCTGGACTCGAACTTGAAAAGTGGCTTGTTCCAACAAAACTAACCTGTTATTTCAGTTACCTCCCCTGCTCATATCTACCGCTTGGGGGCAGTGTTCTCTGTAGTGTTAATGGCTGAAAACTGCAAGATGGAAAAACAATCTATGAACAAACGCTTGGTTAAGGTAAACTTGTCACACATTTGTATCTGTGGCTTAGATCCAGGGGGATGAGGAATGAATGAGAAGGTTGGGATGAAGGTGGTTTATGTTTCCTCCATTATAGTGGTGACTGAAACCCGTTTATGGACAATGTGTATTTCATCCATCGAGTCCTTCCGTTACCGGGTTGAATGGCCGGTAAATATTTCACAAGAGGTGGAAAATATACCATCAATTGTTAAATAGATACACCCTCTATTGATTCAAACCTTTAAATAATAGAAGTTTACAGTGAAAAATATACATGTTTATCACTGTAGTTTGATAGCTCGAATTCATAGAGAGAACGCTAATTCTTGTGGGTGGTATTGTTTAGCCCAGAATAAAGATCTTTCTTTCGTCAGTCCATCTATATTCAGTGGTAGGTTGAATCATATTTCTATGATTCATGAAGGTATGGCATTTTCTGGACTTAAATGATGGATGTGGACTGACAAATTTTATCATTTGGGTGAAGTTTAGTATCTGGGTCCTACTTTGAGTTGTTAACATAAGGTTGCTTCACTTACTATGTAAGCTGCTTCGTTTAGATTAGTTTGGGCATGTACAACAAACTGCTGGGATGTATTTACTACTAGCAGAAAAGTTTAAACAGGCCAGTTTGGGGGTAGTTTTTAAACAAATACAATTCAGTAAAATTGAAACTTAACCATTATCACTATCAGGGTCTAGGTTTTTACAATGGGAACTGAACCAGTTTTCACGTACCTAATTTATGTTTGTCGTTTGTTTCATAAGAAGAGCCAACATGATTTATACTCCCATGACTTTCCACATGAGGATGTACTACAACAGAGACTAGGGAATTTGTGGTGTCTACACGTTGCAACATTTAACATTTCGATCAAATTGGAATATATGACAAATTTGAAGGAAAAACCTGTATCAGTGATAACTAATGATGTTTTGGTGACTTCAGCATTTGTGATGTATACAGAAATGGAAATGTTGGAACATAAACAGATGTAAATTTGTCATATTTCAATCTATCAACCACAAGGGCTCCAGATAATATTTTGAACCAGTGTGTTTTAATTTTACATTGGGTATTCATCATGATAATAGTTGTCTCTGGTTATTCTGTATTTGCAGGGTAGCTCAGTTATTAAAGCATTCACTGAACACCCAAAAGACCCAGGTTTGATTGTGTGTGAAAGCAACTCAACATTAATAGGAAAATGCCAATTTAGTTTGCATATTTTCTTGAAATACTAAGCTTATCTAGTGTAGCTGTCAATCTACTCTCATCTTATATATTGTATGTGGATAATTTATGAATGTTATTCCAAGTCAGGACTGGAACTTGAGCATGGGTCAAGGCATGGGTATTTTTGTCATGTTTGTACTTTGTCATGATAACATTCATGGGGAGACAAATCACACATCAGATTTGGTGGAATTGTTAACAGGAAATAATGTAAACTGTGTACATTGCAACTTGTTCAAGAATATTCGGGGCTGTGGGGTAGCCTAGTGGTTAAAGCGTTGGATCGTCCCGCCGAAGACCCGGGTTCGATTCCCCACATGGGCACAATGTGTTAAGCCCATTTCTGGTGTCCCCCGCTGTGATATTGCTGGAATATTGCTAAAAGCGGCGTAAAACTAAACTCAGTCAGTCAGTCAAGAATATTCATGGAATAATCAACACTTAGGTTCACTCTACTTTCATGGTTAAATAAAAAACATATATAATAATAATAATCCATATACAGCCTGAGGAGAATTCCAGCCAACAAACCTGATCTTGTCCTTTTTGATAAAGCCAATGAATTTATACATATCATTGAATTTTCTGTCCCTTTTGACACCAATGTGATTGGCAAGATTCAGGAAAAGCATACTAAGTATGCGGACCTCGCCTTTGAAATGTCTCGCTTGCATCCCAAGTACACTGTCGTCAGGCTCCCCATTGTTCTCGGTGCCCTAGGTTTGGTACCTCCTGATCGCTTGGCGCAGATCAGGAGAGTGCCTGGGTTCTCCACCGGGAGCACAGCCCTTCTGACACTCTGGGTAATGCAGAAGGCTGCAGTGTTGGGGAGCCTTCATATTCTCCGGAAAGTTCTTGGTGGGGTCGACTAGGCAGCGTGTCCTGGGAGAAGTCCCATTCGCTGTCCGGGCTGCGTGTAGAGGGGGCGAGGGCCCTGAGCTGATGATGAGCCTTACCAGCCTGACTGTGCCAGGATCACCCGAACCCTCCCTGCTGCATATTATCTTTAATCTGTAAAACATAATAATAATAATAATAATGTGTCCATTTATATAGCACCAAACTGGTATTGGCTGCAAGCTCATAATGTTGACTTGCTATATTTTTGTCTTGCTATCTTTAGAGGGATAACCATCAATGTGAAATTAATTGCAAAATTTACCCTTGTTACAACATATTTCAAATATTGAAGATGCTATAACTTCAATATGTCACTGACAAGTTACAGAAAACACAAATTCAACAGCAAGACAGTGCACAAATAGTTGAGTCATTTCCTTCACAAGATACAGTTATCACCCAGATATAACCTTTTTATTTCAAACATGCACAACATGTACAGTGAAATCCATAGGAAACATGGAGTTGTGGATGAGCAGGTGGACATGTTTTTTGTGGAATATTGATTTGTGTCCTCAGGGCAGTTAACACCAAAGACAAAGACAGTTGTTATTCATCAGGGGTGGAAATAACCCATGGCCTGACGTCCGCGTCCTGTGTTTTTTTCTGTCGGGCAAGCAAATTCGTATATCACACTGTACCGGCGTCCAGTTGACTATGTTAATAATGTTGTTTATTTAAAAAATTCAACAAGAAAACGGACGGTATAGTGGACAATTTTTCAGGGCAAGTGATTTCACATGTGCCACTGTACCGGAGTACACTAGCAATTTTAAAGTTATTTCCACCCCTGCTCATTAAGTTCATAATAACGGAGTCAACATACACCTTACATCAATAAATGACTCCAAACATTATATATGATATTCCAGTTCATATAATATAGAGGTATTAGGGCAGACTAAGATGATCGATATTTGGAAATATCGTCGATAGGAAACAACATTAATGATTATTAATTTGAAAATTGTTGTCGATAATATCGTACATTAACTTTTGCGATGGATAAAGCTTTTAATTTTCTCTCACAATATACAAAAAGTAGGGCTATATTCTCGGTCTGCTTCTAAATTATGTTCTGGACGCTGTTTTGTTAATAATCCATGCAAAAACATGTCACAATTCACCAGTGATGTGAAATATAGTCATTTCTTTCACACATTTTTGCTTGAAGTTATGTCTCCCATATTTATCAATAATTGATCCATATTTAGTTAACGAATATGGTTCTTTATTATCTATATCTATAGCCATAAGCAGGGCTCCAGATAACTTTTGGGGGTGTGAGTGTACTTACACATCATATTGCAAGTGAAGGTGTACTGAGAATTTTGAAGGAGTACCGACATGTTTTTGTGTGAGCGAGTTGTTGTGGTTTGTCTGGACGATTCATCGATCACTATTTCCAACCATGTATTTGTATTTGAAGATGCGTGAGAAATAACTGAGCGACCGTGTGATGCGCGAAATGTCAGGTCCGACTGGATATAAATAGGAACAGTGTAGTTTTTTAGCCAATCGAAAAATAGTGACGCATATCGTTGCATGGCAACGCAAGGGATTCCTACTGTCGGGGTTTCCTTATGTGTCAAATCGCGTTCGCGGAAAAGAAACTGAACAAGTATTTATCCGAAATAGATTTCCATTTGCACGATAGCACGGAAAATTAAATGTTAGACGTACGTATTTATGTGCGTAGTACACATACGCTTGAAATCTTATATTATGTCGTACTTAATTGATTTTGAGGCGTACATTACGCATGTACGTCCCTTATCTGTAGCCCTGCATAAGGATAAATGTTTTATAACCCATTGGTAATAATGTTTTATTCAGCAGATATTTAAATATTACAGAATAAATATACTGGTCATCAAAGAAAGTGCTGTGTCATTGTGATGTTACTTGTTTAAGCAGCTCTCCCATAGAAATAAATCAAATCATAGAGGTGGCGATGAAACCATGGTAACAAGTAAACAAAGCCAAGCTTATTGTGATCACAACAGATGTTTATTGAATGTTAATGGAATTATTAAGAAATGTTATCTTAATGGTATAAATAAAATGGTGGGGTGGAGAGATTAGCCTTGACTGGATTGTGATTAAAACAACTGTGTATTTCCTTTGTGCCCTGCCACCACAATCATGGTGATATTAATTGATTACGGTAGATAATGCCAACAGCAGCATCATGATCATAAACCCCTCACTCATTCATTTCCTTTGTGCCCTGCCACCACAATCATGGTGATATTGATTAGATAATGCCAACAGCAGCATCATGATCATAAACCCCTCACTCATTCATTTCCTCCTCACTTCCTTCCCCTCACCCCCCAACCCCCACCACAATCATGGTGATATTGTTTAAATACTGAGAACAGCATCATCATGATCATAAACCCTTCCCTCATTCATTTCCTCCTTTCTTCCTTCACCCCTTCCCCTCCCCAATGCACACACACACCAACACCATTGTTATGTTAAATTAAGTCAACAATTTTTTGTAGTCACCATAGGCAAATTAAAAGAAAATGATATTCATCTTCTATTTGGTTGGATCACAAAGTTTGCAAATTCTATTTTCTTTATTTTGACAGTTTTATATCTTCCACTTTCGATAAATAAATCATGTGAAGAATAGGGCTGCGCAATATAACCGGTTTACCAGTGTTTACAGGTTCAAACATGAAAACGATACGTATTGCGATGCGCTGATCGAAAACCGGTATTTTGACATGTATTCGGAAAACTTCGTAACACTCGGACATCTTCGGATATTTCCGTTTTTTAGATTGTTCCTTTCCTTGTTTCATTTGTTCCAAACGTTATTTACATTTTAATTTGTCATGATTAA